GGCGAATCTCGTTCACATAGGCCTCGTCTTGCAAGGCCAACCATGAACTCATCGTCTCCAGGAAGCCGTGCCAGGCCTCAATCTCTCGCATTCTGTCTCTACCCATCTCCTGGTGGGCTATGACAGGTAGCTGTGGAAGGTACTTGTCGGCAACGGTTGGAGACATATCCACCAGATGAACTTCCAGTATCTTTAGGCCTTGGAAGAGAACTCCTTGCGGAAGAGGTCGCGGCGAGGAACGGGTCACTCGGGGCAGATGCCGCCGCGGCTTCCGCCTTGGCTTTAGCCTCAGCAGCTGCAAGTTCGGCATCGTTCCTCCTCTTCTCCTCACTGTCCATGCGACGAAGCATGGTGGCCACAAGCTGTTGGTTCTGCTCCAACTGCTTCCGGTACTGGTCCATCATGGCTTCCTGCTGTCTCTGCTGTTGCTGCATCACTCGCAGCATCTCAACCACCAAACTCTCTCCCACAGAACCACCACCAAGAGCAGTGGATGGTTGTGAGCCAGTCGCCGGCGTGGAAGTCGGAACTCCTTGAGCTCCAAAGGCAGCAAAAGGGTTCGGTGGCTGTCCTACCGGGTTCTCACCGGTTCCAAACAGCAAAGCCTCCTCCTCGGAAGTGTTGTCAGGGACTGGGACTTCTTCAGCAGTCAACGGCACATGCACTGGAGAACCCTGTGGGCTTCCGTGCACACTTCCGCCTTGCTCAGGAGCCGCCATGGCGAGGAGGTGCTTGACACAGGCGCTGGAGTCACTCTCAGTGCTCCGCTACCATGTGAAAAGCAAAGCTCGCGCAGCTGTCTCTTTTTGACTTCGCACTTGAGCCAAACACCAAAGTGTTCAGCAAGCTTCAGTTCTTGCAGCAAGCTCTCTCCAAGAGCGAAGGGCTCCAAAAAGCCACGAATTCCATCTCAACTTTGTTCTACAAAGGAGGTAAAGCAAAAGAGCAATGCAACTGCTTTGGTCTACACCTCGGAGACTTCAGGTCACTTCCGAACAGCAAAACAGCAAAGCTTCAGAGTCCACTCTGCACTCCTACTCCCATCCTACACGTCCAACGGCAACGAACGAACTGGCGGGGACACGGAGTTGTAACAAGACAGAACCTCAGAGTTCGGACACGCACTTCTTCACTACTGCTCTCAAGCAGTTCCAAGTGCAAAACTCATCCTGGCCATTTTAAGTTTCCTTCAAGCCTCCCTTTTCTGTTTTTCGAAGTTCCTTTTTTTCGGAAACCTCCGTGGCGCCTGGCAAGCTCCAACCTTTTCTAACTTTGAATCTTGTTTGTTTTTTCGGATTTTCGTTTTTCGAAACTCGAGAAGTGAACTTCCCTTTAAAAGAAACCAGAGAAGTGTAACCAAACAACATTTTCCCTAAACGAAGCGAAAGAAGGGAATGTATTCTAAATCTGATTTCATTCTTCGAAACCAAAGAAGTCTTGAGACTTAACATTGATTTCCCTTGAAAAGAAAGAAGAATTCTAAATTCCACCCCTCGCCTCTTGTTTTGTTTTTGGGTTTCATTCGAAACCAGAGAAGTGAGACTCTTTTTCAAGGGGAGCTTAAGGGCAATTCCACCTCCGCTCGCTTCTTCTTTTGTTTTTTGTGTTCATTGCTTAAGTTTCAAGGAGCAGAGAGTTCACAGCAGTGACGTGGCACGGGGCTAAGCCGAGAACTCCATGTTTTGTTTAGAGATGATTGATATGCTTCCACGCAAGCTTGCAGAAAAAAGCGGGAGTTGGCGCAGCTGCCCCATTTGCATAGCAGTGCTGCCTAAGGGGGTTTCTAAAGGGGCTTTAAAGGGGGCTTTAATGGAGGGCTTCAAGGGGGGCTGAAAGGGGGTTTTAAAGGGGGGCTGAAAGGGCTTATAGGGGGCTTAAAGGGGGAGGCTTCAAGGGGGCTTAAAGGGGGCTTTCAGGGGGGGAGGGCTTAAGGGGGGCTTAAAGGGGGGGCTTAAGGGGGGGCTCAAGGGGGGGCTTAGGGGCTTAAGGGCTTTGACCCTTTGCCCCCCCCCCCCCCCGACCCCCTTCCAGGGACCCCTTTGAAGGGGGGCTTGAGGGGGGCTTAAGCCCCCCTTTGCCCAAAGGGGGGGGGGGGGCCCATTCTCACGAAAGTGCAGGAAACGCTTCCCTCCTATGTAACATGAGAGATCGTAAGAGTGTTCTGGACACTGCAACATCTGGACGGGACAAGCCAGGTCTTCACGAAGAAGCGTCAATCTCCCGTAGCCCGATTCCCTGCCTTAACCACGCCAATCTGTCAGCCCTTTGTTTCCTACGCGCACAGTTCCTCAACCCCCCATCTGCGAAGGCCATTAGGATGAATCCCAATTCCGACGCAGCGCACCTCGAATCTATTACCCGAAGAACTTGGACAGAGTGCCATGGAAAGCCACGGATAACCAGCCTCACAGTCTGCAGCCAATTACGTCTATGGAAGATGTTGTGAGGATGATGCGGGCTGGTGACTCTGAGTGGGAGAAGTACGCGCCAGATGAGGCGCTCGGGGGCTGATTGGGTCGGGTTGATTTGGCGCAAGATCCTGTTCTCGTACCACAAGCACTTCGAATTTATTCGAGCAAAAGGCCCTCCAGCTCGAACTTCGAACAAAGGTTCACTTTCAGTCTGACAAGCCAGTGCAAGCCGTTCCCTCCTCTCTTGCCAGATCGATGATGTTGTGGAGGCCAAAGGCTGACGGGTCGAAAAGCTTAGATGCGCAATGAGCGTTCCTCGTTGTGGTGGATGTTTGTTGGTAGAATCCACCTCAAGAGTAAAGTCAGTCTCAGGGACAAGTCTGGCAAAGACCGAACCAGACTGGCTGCTGGTAGAGGACCAAACGGAGTGCCTGGTGCTGGTGGTGGATGGAGAAGAAAGTGTGGCGGAGGGAGCAATCCCGCCGAACCTGGCAAAAGAAGACCGGGGGCCTGTGCTGGAGCTCCAACAGGCCGCGGCCCCGGCCAAGACTTCTCCCGGCTCCGAGGCCAAAACCGGTGACCTCCCCGCCCAGCTCCCCGCCCACCCCACCCAGCTCCGAGGAAGCTTGCTCTCACGGCAAAGGCCGGCTTTTGGCCCCTCCTGAAAAGAAGGCGGCAAAAGGACTCTGGGCAATGCACAAGCTGAACAACTCAAGAAGGGGCTGCAAGAAGAAGATTCGCACTTTGACCTCAGTCAAAGTTTTAATGTTCGAACTTTCAAGGAAGGGAGTGGCCACACAAACCTTGAGAGAAGCAAGGCGGCTGCCGAACGTTTTTGAAGCTGTGTGTCAAGTGTTCGTTGTTTTTTTGTGCCTGCTTGTTGTGACGAGAGTGTGCTAGAGCTAAGCAGCAAACCGTATGGTTTGCCCAAATCGCTGCCTTTGAGTTCGTTTTGGTGCTGAAGTGTGCACAGTGAGGTAGCAACACTCGTGTTGAGGAACCCTTTCAGCTTTTTCGGCTCAAGACTGAACCTGGATCGTGAAGCATGTGGCGTTGGTCACCTTGAGACCTGTTGGTAGTACAAACGGCTGCATTTGCTGAGAAGTCGGTGAACGCCCTACAGCCTAAGTTGTACCATGGACTTGCCGTACACCATCGGGACCCAAGACACACCACCCCGATACTTGGAATTTTCCGATGCTTTCGGACCTTTATTTCGATGGCACCTGCCTACGTCTTTTATGAGGCACTGGCGAAGAATGTGGAACCGGAAGTGTTGCAATCCTGGTGGTTTTGTGTAACCACTTGTTTTTGTTTCCCGCAACTGATCTACTTTGAGTTGGTGACCCCAAAGTTTTGGGTTTTCCTGGAGTTGCGAAAGGCAGCGGTGCGATCGCCCCAAGCTTTGCAATGTGGCCAAGCTCTGAAGTTATAGTTCCGGGCTAGAAAGTAGTGTAGGGTTTGGGGTTTAGGCTTAAATTTTGGGTTTAGGGGTGAGAGCAGATATCTCAAAGGCTGACAGAACCTCAAAGCGCGAAGGCACTGGAGGCGTTCATACGCCAAGAGTGGGCTCGTTGGGGCTATCGCCGCCTGGAGATGTCGAAGATGAGCCACCGTTGTGTTGGCTTAGTTGTCACGTTCCCTCCCCTTCTCCCTCCCCTCCCCTCCCCCTCCCCTCCCCCTCCCCCTCCCTTCCCCTCCCTCCCCCTCCTCCCCCTCCCTCCCCCCTCCCCCTGTCCCCTGTCCCCTGTCCCCTGTCCCCTGTCCCGTCCCCTCTCCCCTCTCCCCTCTCCCCTCTCCCTCTTCCTCCTCTCCCTCCCTCTCCCTCTCCCCTCTCCCCTCTCCCCTCTCCCCCTCTCCCCTCCCTTCTCCCCTCTCCCCTCTCCCCTCTCCCCCCTCTGCCCTCTCCCCTCTCCCCTCTCCCCCATCTCCCCTCTCCCCTCTCCTCTCCCCTCTCCCCATCGCCCCCTCCCTCTCCCCTCTCCCCTCCCCCCCTCCCCCTCCCCTCCTCCCCTCCCTCCTCTCTCCCCCACCTCTCCTCTCCCCCTCTCCCCTCCTCCCCTCTCCCCTCTCCCCTCTCCCCCCTCTCCCCTCCCCTCTCCCTCTCCCCTCCCCCTCTCCCCTCTCCCCTCCCCCTCTCCCCTCCCTCTCTCCCCGCTCCCCCCCTCTCCCCTCTCCCCTCTCCCCTCTCCCCTCCCCTCTCCGCCCCCTCTCCCCTCTCCTCCCCTCCCCTCCCCGTCATGTTCACATCCATATTCATAGGCACACGCATACTCATATTCATGTTCATGTTCATACTTTATTCATGATTCATTCAAAGGTCAGCGGCAGTCTTTCAGGGGTTCTAGGACCATTGCTCTTCGTTTTGTTTTGCATGAAGGCTTTGTTGCAGTGTTTTGGTGGTGTAGCTGCTTGGCTTATCCTTGTGCCAAGAAACTTCTTGCAGTGAGGAAGGTTGGAGGTGCGAAGAGTGGACAGAGAGGATGAGAAGCTTGGACAGCAGTTCGGTTGTCAGAGGGCTTGTGGTCTTACAGTTTGCTCCGCAACTCTGCTATGTGAGGCCCAGCACATCCGACATTTGTTGCATCAATGCTCCAAGCATCCTTTGCTTTCAAGACAGTGCATGGCCAGCCAAGTGCACACTTCGATGTCATCGTCGTGTTGCTGAACGTGCGGAAAGCTCTTGGCGAAAAGGGATGCGAGGTCAAAAGAGTGTCCCGTGGCTCCGTCTTCAGAGAACCCCGCTCCCAGAGTCTTTGGAGTTTGGGGCGGGGGAGGTGTCCAGCACTCTTGACTTTAAAGTTTGGGGGTCCCTTTAGCGGGATTCTATTCTATTTGGGGTGTACAAGGGGTACCCCAGTGGTACCCCGATGTTGGTAAATGCCCATGTTGGTATTCACATGGTGGATGAGCCCTGTGACTTTTTTGAGTGCAGCTTCTCCTGTTCTTGACAAACTCCCATCCGAACCCATGGTCCAACACTCCCAGCCGGCTCCTAAACTCTGGATTCCCCAACCTCTACTCTTCATTCCCTAAACTCTTCCTTCCCTAAACTCTAGATTCCCCCCAAACCCCGCTCCAGTCTTTGGGTCTTCGAGGCAGCACAAGATCGAGCTCACCTTCGGCTTCAGCCCAGGCCTCCCTAAGAGAGGCCCAAGAGGCCTAAGCAAGAGGAGTTCATAGTGGTTCCGGGTATGGGCCCTCCAGCATAGATCCTGAACAGCACCGTGGCAGTAGTGCTCAGCCGCTTGGAAGAACCGCCGAAGAGCCGAAGAGCCGAAGAGCCGAGAGCCAGAGCCCTGCCATGAGGCTTTGTGCACTTGTTCTTGGAGCGCTATGACCCGTACCGAGATGTGGACCCCAGCGAATGGGATGCCATCAGCATTGCCAAGGGCAAGATGGGGAGCAAAGGCCGGGGGTGCGGGTCTCAACCCCAAGCTGTTGGGGCAGGTTTTGGGGGGGGCTTTGTACAGGCTTGGCCTGCAAGACAGCTTCAATGCTTCAGGCCGCAAGCCTCGAGTCTCAGGGTTCTTAGGTGCGTCCTTCCAGGTTGCAAGGTTCTCCTCACGCCATTAAGCCCTTCTGAAGCTCATTCCCCCCCCCCCCTTTTTTTTTTTTTCCTGACGCCTTGCAGCTTGACAAACCCTAGACCGATTTCCCCTCCCTCCTGTCACGCCCATGACTCGCGGCTGTTGTGAGGGCGCGGAAAAGGCAAGGGCAAGGGCAAGGGGAAGGGCAAGGACGGCCACTTGTGGCTGCATGTGGCAGCAACTGTTGTGGCCTTCGAGCTTTAGGTGACTTAGGTGCCTTACGCAGAGGTCCGCATTTTGAAAGATGTAAGAATTCCCTCTCTCCCCTCTCGCATCTCCATGCAAAGCGGGTCACTGAGAAGACGCCTGGGGAACATGTATCTTCTTTTGGGCCGCGCGCGTTTTTTTTTTTTTTTCTCTCTCTCTCTCTCTGTCTCTCTCTATGTCTCTGTGTGTGTGTGTGTGTGTTTTTGATTTCGTTCCTTCAAGCCCATGAGTGCAGTGGGCAGTGGGCGCCCGCAAGCATCACGAGCGCAGCTGCAAGGGCCACCAGCCCCTTTAGAGGGGGGGCCACATGGTGCAGGACCTTCAAAGTGATGAAGAAGACGAAGAAGTCGACGAAGAAGACGACTCCCTTCCAGGCAGGTAGGTTTGCTCGAAATGCATCTCAACTCTGAGAGATTGCGGGGGGCCCTCGTCTGCAGTCCTCTCTTTGCCGTGTACCCGTGCATCAAGCACCTGCCATCTTGAAGTTCGCCCGTGGGGTTCCGGGTGAGAAGCTTCAACCTAACGAAGTGCACAATCGAAACTTCTTGCCGAGGAGCAGAGAATCTATGCATCCTGCTCTGGTAAGCAGCTGCTCCCAAGCCAGGTCCCTTGTCTGACGATGTTCCGCAAGGCTGGGCTTAATTGCATGTAGCAGCGCCGCTGAGTCGCACTACAAGACTGCGAGTGGAGGAGGGAGATCTGCACAGCCCCGGGACGTACATCCGTAAACGGGTATGCGGTATGCTAAGCACGCCAGAATGGGTTTATATTCCCTGGAAACCTTGGCCCGTGGAAGGCCAGCAGCGCAAACCGCGCGGCCCTACGACGACCCAGCGCAGGGAAGGTGGGCGGGGGACAGGGGGTTGGGGGAAATCTTGTGGTTTTAAGGTTCACATCCATGGCGTGAGGGGGACATAGGGGGGCAGTGAATCAAGCACCTTGAACTGAAAGCTGAAGCCCTCAGCGATCAAGCCGAGGTGGCAGGACTTTCTCAGATGAGGAGTACCGGAAATCGCTGGATCGACTGCTGGAGATTCAGGCCCCTGTGACGTCGGATGGCTGTGTAGAGTGCTTTAAGTACACCGTTCGGGCTGTGAGGCCAGGCTGGAAGAGAAGCGCTCGCAGCTGCCACTGGTGGAGGAGTGAACAGCCGGCACAAATTCCCTGATGTCCAGATATGCCCTGACATTTTAAGAAGGGGAACTGGCTCAAGGCTCAGGCCGCACGACGACAGAACGGGTATCTCTGAACTCCGGGAATCTTCGAGGTCATTTCAGGAGGTGTGGGGAGCTGGGGGGCCATCGGAGGAGCCCTTGAAGCAGCAGTACCGCTTTGCTGTGCGATTGTGGCGGGAGTTCTCTCTCAGGACCCGCATCTCTTGCCACAGCCGGAAAAGGATCATTCACCAGCCTAGACACCCGGCCCTGGACTTTTGACTCTCAACCCTAAGTCGGTTCCTTATGAGTGCTTTTGCCGGGGGGGTCCTAGTTCAAGACCCCTCTGGCTTTTGAAAGGACTGGCCCGCGTCCGCCCAGGCCGGACGTGGGGGCGCCTCTCGTAGTTGAATTGGGGGCGGTTGATGGCGTAGGAGGTTCGTGTTTTTCATATTGCCAGATAAAGAAAGCTTGGCTCACGGACATTTTGCCTTGGTTTTTCAATGTGAGAAACTTCCATGCAGCCGTCAGTGCAGTTTCGCTGTGGATGTTTCTGCTGAGACGGCAAGCGGGGTTAGCAGTTAGGGTTTAGGTTTTGTGTCGGGAAATGAGACCGCTGGTCTTGATCTGCTCGAAGACTTTTGCCTGCTGCTGTGCTCTGTCCGAAAGCTTTCTTGAAGACCCTCATATGTACAGGGAGACATGTACCCCAATGGAGGCCTGTTTAACGAGGTAAGTGCTAAAGCACTTTAAAGCCCTTCTTCGAGGCTCGTTGGCAAATGCAATGCCTTGACGGCGTGGTATATGAGGTATCTACCTGCCGACGAAGTGCCACTATTCTCCTACACTCCAAAAACAGTGCTTGATTCCCCGCCCTGCCAGAACCAGGCTTTTGAACTGCATCTCCCCCGACAAGTGCTCAATGGGCCACCAAGGAGCATGATCTACTCCGGCATTCCGCCCGAACCCGTGCTGTGGGGACCCTACGTTCTAAGCCTGGCAATGTGAGACAGCTCACGCACAAGGTTCCAGCAGAGGTTTGCGCAGCTCTTTTCTGTTTGTTTACAGCATCCTAAGCCTGCTGTATACGTTCGAGGTGCGATTGGGGCGATGCTGCTCTTGATTGGGGCTCACCGACACCGGCTGATTGGGGTTGGGACGCTCCCAACCTTGAGGAGTGGGCTCGGGACTTAGCTTGCGATGCAGTGCTGTGAGGTGGGCTTTCGAGTCTCGGTTTCAAGTCCCAGGTTGAGCTTGTGCTGAACGGTCATAAGCCTCGCGGGAGGCTCGTTAGGAGGGCTCTGTAGATTTGGTCACGCACGCGTGCGTGCGCGAGCACCGGTCGTCTTCGTCAACTTTAGGTGGTGCTTAAAGTCCCTGGCCGTCTAAACAGCCAGAATCGACTTCGACTGGCCAGGAGGGGAACAGGTTTAAAGCGGTCCAACATTAAACCCCAAGGACTAACCAAACCTTCAACTTAGTGCCGAAGATCAAGAATTCCTGAGACCCCAACAGCCCTAAACCCAGACCAGACTTGACCTCGAAGCCTAAACGCAAGCCCCCCCCTGCCCCAAGAAGCAACAGTCTCCCCCGAAAGGCTGCAAACACAAATGACCATTTTAAGGAAGGGCTGCGAGGACTTTGTGCTTTCGGGAGTAGCTTCGGAGCATGAAGGAAGAAGTTCTTCACTCGATGCCCTCTTACAGGGGTCGCGTATGCTGAATCGCTGAAGCCGTGTGCACCCCCAAACATTCCACACACTGCAACCTCGGGTCCTGAACCTTCATCTTATTCCCCTATAAAGCCCCTATACCTTACATCGTCCCTGTATACCTGAGTAGCCCCCGAAATCAACCCCAAATAGCCTCCCAAATTGCCGAGGGCAGTCCAGATCCGTCTCTTGGGCCTGCAGAGAAAGGAAGGAAGTGCAACAAGCCCCTACTTGGAGGTTCATTGTACTTACTAACCACTTATAACTGGGCTTATAACCCTACCTATAATTGGGATAACCCCTATAAGGCCTTTTAGAGGTATTATAAGTAGGGTGATAAGTACAGTTATAATTGGTTAGTAAGTACCGTGAACCTGTAAGTACATTGGGAGGATTCGGATCGCTACTCGTGAAGGGCACAACATGGTTTCGTGTCAGCTCCTGGCCGAGTTACTCTAAGCTAGGGGTGAGGTTGTCGGCTTGGGATGCCCAGAGATGTGGTGTTAAAGGCATCTGAGTCGGACGTCTAGCCTGCTTTGGTTTGAAATCTGCAGGAGGTTTCGAGGTGTATGAGCCGGTATGCGCTACTGTGATATGTTTCGCTTACATGCCTTGAGATTCGTTCGTCGCTTCGTGGTCGCTTGTGTCTTTGCTTGGTGGCATGTGCTTTGTTGCCGCCGAGCCGACAGGTCTCAGCCCAAAGGTTACTCCGGGGGTGCTCAGGCGCGGTTTTTTTTGGTTTATCGGCTCAGGGGGCTGCCGCTTTGATTCGTGGGGCTCTGTTGGATTGGGTTTGACTGTCGGATTGTTAGACAAGAAGACGAGGAGGACAAGGCATCACACTGCTCAGCTTGGGTTGTTTTCAGCTGCTGCATGCAGCTTGCGGGCAGTGAGGCTCGAAGCCCGCAAAGGGCACATGTCGTACATGGCAATGGTAGTCGTATTCAACACTTGCCATATCTGACGGTGGCACCACAAAAGCAAAAAATGCCGGCAGCAGCATAAGTCTTGCAAGAAGACTCAGGGCAGTTGGGGGGGGGAGTAGACAGGCCTGTCCAAGTTGAGGCATAAATCGGGGCATCCGGGTTCTCCTTAAGCCCTGAACCCCGACCAACCACCCCAGGATGAAGTATCAAAGCCTAAGCCCTCATAGTGAAGTCAAGGCTCTGACAATAAGTTCAAACCAAGGTCAATGGAACAAGGTGCGTCGCAAAACCAGATGTTGATGTACCTCGATGCTGCATGTCAGTCGCATCCCGAGATAGAGGTCGATGATGGTCTTCGTGAGCCGATGCATCTCCTAGTAGGCCCCGCGACGCTCAAGATTTGAGATCCCAAACCTCAGGTCAATCTCTCAGCGAAGCCGGAAGTTCTAACCCGTGCGGAAAACAGAGAGAAAGCTCGAGAAGAGGAGATTTGGTTGCCCCCCCCCAGCGGAGTGTTCGAGTCGTCGAGTTGTAGAGGTCGTAGCCTAAGCCCCCGGATCCGGAAATCGCAGTCCCAACCCCGAAAAAGAACCGTCGGCTCCAAATTCAAGATGATTTCGGAAACCCGAAACCCGAAACAAACCCGAAACCCGAAGCCCGAAACCCGAAACCCCCAAACCCCAAACCCCAAGCCCCACGGTGCAGGGCGCCAAAGCCTCCTGCAAGCTGGGCATCTTCGGCTCCTCGGAAGTGCAGCACCTTCAGCTGGAGGCTTCGCTTTTTTGGGGGTTCGGTCTACGGGGTCTTGGAGATGTTTTTGGGGATGATTTGGGGATATTTTGGAGATGTTTTGGGGATGTCCCGGGGCTGTTTTCGGGACGGTCTGGGCTTTTTTGTTTGTGTTCTGAAGTTTTGAGGGGTTGGGTGGAGCAAGTTTTGGGGATCTCAGGACTGCGGGGCTACGGGGCTTCCGAGAATCCGCGGCTTCATCTGTGCAGAGACGTTGCTGCCGGGTCAGGGTCTTGGGATCGCTGCATTATCAGCAAAATCTTTACGTGAACTGCGCCTTCAGTACCCTAGTAGGGTTAGAATTGGGGTTAGAAGTACAGCTATAGTTGGGAAGTAGGGTGTTTGGTTGGGTTATAAGTTCGGCTATAGTTGGGTGACTAAGTACCACGAGCCAGGCGTCTGCCACCGTGGCCGATGTGCTGGAGAAGGTTCGCCAGGCCCGAAGTCGCCAGGGCTTGAGATTTTACATGGAGGTTCATGGTACTTAGAAAACCAAGTGTAGCTGTACTTATAGCCCAATTCTAACCCTACTAGGGTACTTTCGGGGCTTATGACAAGTTCGTATGGTCTTTCAGACCACTGAAGGAGGGCACCCGTGTGAATTTTTTCTTTGCATTTCTCCGATGCAAATGTCTACCTGTTGAAGCCAAAGTTGATGCACAGAACTGCGGGAAGAGCACAAAGTCATCGAAAAATCCGCATAAAACACAAGGCAAGTTCTGCCCCACAGTCCCCCAAAAATGGCCGCCCCCTGTCTCCGAATTTTCCATTCAGGAGCGGGGCATCTCGGAGAAGCGTGAGCTCCAGCACCCCGGTGCGATTCAGGGGCTGAAGACCGCAGGAAAAATCGAGGGTTCTACGGCTTGGGGTTTCGGTGTGGGTGTTTGATGCCCAGCATGTTAAGCCATTTGGGGAGGGGTGTACGGTAATAAGAGGACCCCCCTAATCTAGACCCCCAAGGGCAGGATTCCCTTAAAATAAGGACCCCACTAAGGTACCCCGAATCTCGTAAACCCCCCTAAACCCTAAACCCTAAACCCTAAACCCTAAACCCTAAACCCTAAACCCTAAACCCTAAACCCTAAACCCTAAACCCTAAACCCTAAACCAACCCCCGTTGGTTGCCTGCGCACATATTGCCCTCCGAGGCTGGTGCTCATGCCAAGTGGTGAGGTGCTGAACGACCCCTGGACCGCTTGGGCTAGGTCTATGGTCTAGGTCCAAAAGGGGGCTCAGAGCTGAGGACTCTTGTTCTTCTGCTTATTCTTGTTCTTATATTCTTGCGATGATCCTTCGTAGTATTTGTTGCTGGTTCTAAGACCCTAAACCCTGCAAGTTGGTTGGCTCCCGTGCGGCCCCCCACCTGACCTGTGCTGAGGAAGACTACCGGATCGACTCGGCCCCCGCGGATGAAGAGCTGACTCTGATCCTCTAGGACCAATAGATAGATAGCTTCGTCTCTCCGGCAGACGGCTGCTTCAGCGGAACCGGGGGCATGCTTTCGCAGAAGCATCCGAAGCCCAAAGCTGCCCTTGGGGCAGCTTTGGGCTTCTTGCTCTCAAGCATCGTTTGCAGCGTGCAGCGCCGGAGAAGAAGAGTCCTTGAGACATGGGGACTGTTGCAGTGAGGGTGAGGGCAGCCATGGGACCCGTTGCGAGGCTTGGGGGGCCATCAGGGGTTGAGTGTGCTCCCTGATCTGACGGTTGCGCGCCAATTTTGAGGCTCAAGACATCCTTCTTATGACATGGGCTTCTCTCCTGCAAGGCTTCGCCATGCAGTGTCTAAGGTTAGTTGACGTTAGTTGCGTAAAAAGGTCACGTCATGAGTTTACGCATTGCTTCTGACAGAACGCATCGGTCGCGCAACGGCATCTGAGCCCTTGCTGTTCTCAAGCATACTTAAGTATACTTCGTGCAACTGCTGGTGGATAGAGAGCATTAGGAGAGCACTGGAGAGCATGGAGCATGCATATTCACAACACAAGTGATGGCGCCACTGGCGGTGGCGAACCTGAAGTTTGGGGATTGCCCAAGACATGTCAATTTCCACCACACAGAGCCTTGTCTGATCTAAGTGCACGGTGTTTTGTTTGGTGCGCTGGGTTTCGCTGGATGTTTTGAGCATCAGGGATGGAGACGGATGATGGGAGCAATTGTTGTTCTCGCAATCACCAGAAGCTCGGCGAAAGTTTAACGCATTTCCCTGATATCCTTGGCATTGAGTATTTCAGCGGTTTTTTCTGGTTATTTTCTTGCCTGATTTCTGTGCCTCATTCTGCAGAACGTTGCGCGAAGCATTGTGATTTGTCAGGACATGCGGGATCCTAACCCTAAACCCTAAACCCTAAACCCTAAACCCTAAACCTTAACCCAAAACCAAAAGGGCTCCTTCCGAGGTTGGCAGGCTCCAAGGACGTTCTTCGCGGAGTTTGTGCGCCAAGATCCTGGAAGGAGACGTCGGAGACGTTGGAAGCAGTTTCTGGCTGGTTCTTAGTAGGGAATGAGGCAATTCGGGCCCTACTTCATCCCTTAAAGGGTATATATATATATACATATATATAGGGCCCTCATTCCCTCATTCCCTACCAAGAACCAAGTTTGTTTTGGATAAGCGCGCCATGCCGCAAGGCTTAAAGGCAGCTTTGGGGGCAGGAGGCAATTTTGCCGCCCCCCGCGGCAGCTTTGGGTTCCCTAAACCTAAAACCCTAAACCCTAAACCCTAAACCCTAAACCCTAAACCCTAAACCCTAAACCCTAAACCCTAAACCCTAAACCCTAAACCCTAAACCCTAAACCCTAAACCCTAAACCTGCCTCTAAGTTTTGTGATGATTCTTTGTGGACGTTTTGGAGTTGAGGGTCTCGGGTTTGGGTTTGCTTCTGGTTTGGAGGAAAGATGTTGCCAGGAGGGAGCTCCGCGCTGAGTATTCGGGGCGTGGAGAGGAAAGGCCGCCCGCCTATTTCCAGAAGTAGTGGGAGCTTTCCGTTTAGGATTGCGGGTCTGAATCTCTGGATTGCAATTGCTGTTGTGAGCCATGGGCGTGCTTTGGTTCCAGAATGCTGCTCACCAAAAGATGCGCCCCAGAGTGCAGACAAGGGGGCCCTTGTGAATCCCCGAAGAAACCCTAACCCTAAACCTCTTCTCCTCAGAGGCTGTCCCTTCCCCTCAGCTGTGGTGGGCGACTTGTTGTACAAGGATACCGAGCCTCAGAGCAGCAGGCGTGATGGAGAGCATTTCTACTCTGTGAGTCATTTGCTAAGCACATGAAGTTGCTGCTGATGTTGGAGATGCTTTGCTGAGTCATGTCGCAGGGGTTGAGGTGTGGGTTCCAGAGGCACTGCGATGGCAAATGGCGCACAGGGACAACCCGAAAAGCATAAACATGAAGCCCTTAAATCCCAGGAGGCGCAGGGTTCGATCACCCATGGAGCTTCAAACGAAGCACGCCAGTTGCTGGACGTTCTTGCTGTTGGCCCCGCTGGCACCACCCCACAGCCCAAACTTAAGGAGGTCACACACACAACATATGCCATGGGAAAGTGCAGGTGCCAACGGGCTGGCCTGCTGGAAGTTTTCAGGAGTGGAGGCCGCTGCCTTTTGCCTCCTGACAGTCCCCGATGTTGCAGAGGGTTACAGAAGGCTTGGGAGTTGGAGGGGGCTCCCAGAAGGACTCAAAGGACGGGCGGGAAGAGCTTGCAGTGGTCACCAAAGTTCTCTGGAAAATGACTCTGAGCACGAGGAGCCTGATTTTCGAATCGGCCCCAGAGACCGCGGAGGAGTCGGGCACAGAAAATGCTTGGCACTTTGTGGGACCGTGTTTGCGCGGGATTTTGCGGGGATTCGCGCCGCGGCGCCAGTGAGGCAAAGCATGTCCTAGGCTTGCAAAACACTGAACTCGAGAGCGGCCCAGCTTTGCTGTCTCATCTGTTAGTGGAGACTCTCTGTGTGCAAGGAGAGAGGTCCACCATTCATACAGTCCGTATCGCACCTGGCCTGCACGGGTCGGGGCGTGTGATATATGGGGACCTTGTTAAGCTCACCCGACATATTCTGTCTATCGTTTAGCTGCTCCCCCGAGAGTGTTCAATCTTTTTTCCTTCGGTTTTCCTTTCATTGAGCGGCTTCCATCTATTTAAGGGTTCTCTGGTCTGTACACACACATGCACCAGCGCACGTACTTAGTATATGTGTATATATATATATGTATATATCTATACATGTATATATATATATATATATATACATATATATATATATATATGCAAGTAGAGCTGATCCTTCGCCCTACAACCGAGAGCTTTGCTTAGGAAAGTGACCTGTGCAGCTGATGGCCAATGGCTTCCCGAAGCTGATGCTCAGGCGATACGCCGGTTTGGGTCAAGTGAACTCACTTCAATGCAATTCAGTTCAATTCAGGTCAATTGAAAAAGGCTCAATTCCAGTCACATGGTCTTATGGTAAACTGTGGCTTCCTTGTTAAGGTGACTTCGTTTTAGCAGTTTAGGGTTTGGGGCGTCGGTGAAGTGTTAAGATCACCCCTTGCTCAATCGTCTAGCCGTGGAGTTGGATGCGTCGACCCTTGGCGCAGCACATCCACAGGCACCCCAAACCCCAAACCCTAAACCTGTAAACCCCTAAGGCCCTAAACCCTAAACACAGCAGACCCCTAGACCCTGCACCTACACCCTAAACCCTAAACCCTAAACCCTACACCCTAAACCCTAAAGCCTAAAGCCTAAAGCCCTAAACCCTAAACCCTAAACCCCAAACCCTACAAGCCCTAAGAAGCCAGGCCAACCCTGAGCTCCGGAGGTCCTGGCCTTGAACTACCCGAAGACCCTGGCGGCCTCCGTGGCCGCCAGTCTCCGTCTGCTCAAGGCTTACGGTTGGGTACTAGGGTTTAGGGTTTAGGGTTTAGGGTTTAGGGTTTAGGGTTTAGGGTTTAGGGTTTAGGGTGCCATCTTGTTGGTTAGTAGGGAAGGGGGGAATATAGGGTACCACATATCCCCCTGTATACCCTTAAAGGGAATAAGGTACCACACATCCGCCAATACACCCTTCAAGGGAATAAGGTACCGTATATCCCCCTATATACCCTTTAAGGGAATAAGGCACCATATATCCCTTGTACAACCTTGAAGGGATTCGACATGGCCCCTTATTCCTAGCCAACAGTAAGAAGGCCCCGCAACCACGGGTGCTGGTCATCGGCCTGGGCGTCTTGGAACAAAACTCGGGAAGGTGTTGGGGTTGGCGAGTTAGGGGTTCAGGCTCTTGGGGGGTTTGCGGTTGTAGGGTTTCGGGGTTTGGGTCTGGGGCAGATGGAGATCTTGCTCTCACCTTGTTCGTATAGTAGCCGTGTGTTTCATTTTTCAGAGATGACCGCTTTTGGGGACTGAGCTTCGCCTCTCTTTACACGCGACATCTTTAGATACTTCTTCAACGCTGTCTCGGCATGGTCTGCCATCGGCACATACCCATCTCAGGCTCTGGCTCAGTGCCTCTGTGGCTGGCCAATGCGCTCCCCAACAGCTTGGTGGATGTGGTGGAGCTGGAGGCTGTGCATCATAGTACTCTTAATCGCAATCATAGTCATAAGCATCATCAGAATCAAAATCGTAATCGTAATCAGAATAACGTTGAATAACCATGGAAGAAAGGTTCGAAGCAACAAGAAAGGGTGCGAAAGCGCGCGAATGAAGGAGGCAGTGATCCGAGCTGCTGGGGAAGCTCTGGGCTTCCCCGTGGAGGTGAGCGGAGGCAGGGATGGTGACAAGCTCTTGTTCTTCCCAACATCATTCTTCATTATTGTTCAGAAACAGTGTTCGTATCAGTTGTATTTATTACTATGGTGCATTTTGTTCTGTAGCTGTATTGTCATGAACGCAATGGAAGCGAGGTGTGTTGACTAAGTCGACGAACTTGGAAGTGAGGGAGCATGAGCCGTGAACGTAGCCTGGGATCGATGGGAGCGTCTGCGCCAACCGTGCTATTTCCGTCGCCTGCTTTTGGGGCTTGATTGATGTCCCTAAACCCTAGACCCTAAACCCTAAACCCTAAACCCTAAACCCTAAAGCCTAAAGCCTAAACCCTAAACCCTAAACCCTAACCCTGAACCCTGAACCCTAAACGTGTATGCAAACGCCTCCCCCTGTGATGCACCTGGAGAGGTGCTGGTGCTTCGCCCCTGCGCCGGGCGTTAAAGGGCCGCCTGCAAGCGATCTGCGGCGACGGCTTGGGGAGGGGGGGAATGGTTGGAGATCCGAAAGTGCAGACATCTGGCTGTGAGCACATGGCGCCGCGCGCTGTTGTTTCTAGACTTCATCAGCAGCTTTTGGAGAAGCATGCTTTTCCACAGCAGGTGCCGCCCTGGCCGCCGAGTGGGCAGCTGATGCGAGTGGCCCGCGCTACGATGCAGCAGCTTGTCATGAAGCATTTTACATGGTCCGGCTTGTGCTTTAGCTCCCTAAACCCTACTCCCTAGCCACGGCAAACCCCCTAAGCCCTAAACCATCCTAAACCTTAAGCCCTACATGCAAACAAAGTTAACCGCTCCGTGGTCCCGCCTGCCATGGTCGAGGAGTCGAATGGTTCGGGTTTAGGGAGGTCATGGAAGGGTTGGGTTTCGATCTGGATCGGTGTCTAAGTTCGGGACTTCGGGGTTGGGTTTGTTCTTAGTCTTACGAAGATGAGCTGCGAAGTGTTAGAGTCGAAAGGTGTCTACGGCCACCAATCGAGTGATTGTACCTGCGTGTCGACCGCCTTGGCCTGTCGAAGTTTTGCGTACAGGGAGACTTCTCGTTAAGAGCTGCTCGCGTTCGGAAGTCTTCAGGGGATCCCCAACAGTTCTCCCTTTGGCGCCAGAAATAGGTGGGGAGTTTCTCGGGACCCCTCGCCCCTCGCATTGACTGCCACATCTCACATGCCAGACACCTGACCATACATGCAGTGGCAGTCTCAGCCGCTTCTGTGTGTCTGGACTAGGCCGGGCTGTAAAGTGTGAAGGAATCATCAGCGAAAGGGGCACCTTGCATCTGCACAACGTACATGTCTGCCCTGCAGCTGTACTTCGCATCCCAGGTCCTCATCGATGCTTACGATGCCTTGAACCGCGTCCCACGAGCGCTGTGGGATGAGGAGCGTCGAATACAATCCTTGCGGAGTGTGGTGTGAATCCTTGGCATGTGACGAACCTTCGTCGAGTCACTCCCTAAACCCCAAGAACCCCAAGCCGTAAGGGTACATACTGTATAAGTTGCCTTATGCACATTATCGCCATGACAAGGCTGGGCCACTGGCACAAGCCTTGCCGGCGCTTCTCAAAGAGCAGGCCGTCGTGGCGGCGCTGCGCACAGCATTGCGGGAAGGGGTACTTCAGAGTATCAGGACGAGGTGGTTTAATGGGTATCATCCGGTTTGTTACTCCAAATTCAGCCGACACAGTTGTAGCTGTACCGAAATCCGAAGTTGACCGTTTCTGTTTATTCTCCAGCTTCCACACTTCCTCACTTTAATCACTCGTGATGTTTCAAACCGGCTCGCCGAGGCGAATGTGCCGCCTGGATTTCCCACCGAGGACTGGATGTGAGTCGCGTGAACCTGCCTGTGCTTGTGGGGTGTGATTCTTTTGACTTCTGGATGTGGGGGCTTACGATAACCAGGGACCCTAAGATAGACCCTCAAGTAGTAGGATCCCCTTATAACAGATACGGAAAAAAACCCATGTGGCCGCCACGTAGTAGCGAAACCCAGCGAAGGAGATGATCTCGGGCTTCCAGAAGCGCCTGCAGAACGGCGACGGAAGCGGAGGAGAGGCAGAGGCCGGCGTTTTCTCTGTCGATTTGGGGGGGGGGACTTTATTATTATTATTATTATTATTATTATTATTATTATTAATATGATGATGATGATTATTATTATTATTCGGTTCCAAAGTGCTGTCGGCTCCGAAAAAAGAAGTCCCAACTCATGGCCTCAGCTAAGCCATGGAGAGTTGCTTCCTGCGGTGTGGCAGAGATCTGTGCTCAACAGCTCCGTGCCGTTGAGACGGCTAGGGCCTTAACTGTGCTAGGCAACCCTAGGGTTTAGGGTTTAGGGTTTAGGGTTTAGGGTTTAGGGTTTAGGGTTTAGGGTTTCAACATGGTAGGTTCCCCGGGATTAGGGTCCCTGATTCTGAGAACCTACCCAAGAGTACCGTGCTTGAGATGCACAGTTCGGTTCCTTAGCGGAGGCTCTTCCCGCTGCCTTGGCTCTCGAGGCACGGACAGAAGAGGGTTGCTGTTCTCAGGGCTCAGAGGTTTCGGGGGTTTCGCAAGCATGCCAATGAAAGCGTGAATGCTGTGCGATAATAATATGAACGAAGTTCGTGAATAAATGAGCGTGCGAATGAAAAGAGCGCACGAAATGCATTCACGGACGGGCTTATGGTTGTAGTTTTAGTATTATTGCCCCATTAGTACTAAAGGCTTGAGTTTAATGGCGGACAAGGGCGTAACTTCCCCATCATTGACCTATTTCCTGGCTCTTTCTATAGGAAACTTAACCATTAAATCTCCCATTAAAAGGACTTAACATTGAGGCTCAAGGGAACAATAACCAAAAGCACTAGTTGCGATTTCTGCTTCGCGCGTGCTATGCAAGGTGCCTGAGACTGCCAATACGGTGGCCCTGGTCCTTCGCTGCAAAGGCTGCAGAGCGGTGGCTTCCCTAGACCAGAACTGTGCATGGGGGGGCTGAGTTGTGCAGAGGCCCGGTCAAAGTAGACCACCCCTAACGTATGAGCACAAGCAAAATAGTCGGCTGGACTGCAGTAGGAGGGTGGCTGAAGATTGATTGCTTGGTTTCTTGGGACCTCTTTCTGGCTTAGGGAGAAGGAAGCAGTTGCCAGTGAGGACCCAGTTGCACAGAGTTTTGTACCGCGCTTCCTGGTGCATCCGTCACTTCACCTCGACAAAAGACACCGCACTCGGTGCTGAGGCGGAGTTTTACCGCCGTCTCTGCGAAGCCGCCAAGGAGTTCCAGCAAAGCTGGGGAGCCTGGTCGAGGGTTCGGGTGGCGTAAATTCGTGACAGGAGGCTTGGTAGTGGTGGTTCAAAGAGCGGCAGAGGGAGGTGGCCCCCACATCAAACTTCTCTTTCCTTGCTCTCTCCGACAGCAACTGGCGCTCTTGGCGGCATGCGCCGGTCTTCTGTCGAGAGCGCCGGCCCCCACCGAGGCGGCGCCTGCCTCTTCGATGCGCCTGCGCGGCTCACCAACTGCCTGGTCCAATTGCTGTAAAAAGCATCCGACAGGAATCCTACGTGTCCCAGTCCTCTCCGCGTCCGAGGCATCATTGCCTTAAGATGTCTCGGTGAGAAAGGGTCCTCTGCTCATTCGTTATGCGAACTTGCATGGGCCTTTGTACGGGGTGAAGTGACGCTGTGGCGTCTCCTGGAGCCGACTATTGGGTGAAAACTTGAGATTCAGCGTGCCAGAGGCGAACTGGCCGAGAAGCTCTAGATGTCAGATCTTCTGGTAGCTCGAGTTCGCCCTAGCCATTTCTTGTCTCAAGTGCAACTTCTTTGTCTGCAAACTCTTGTCTCGTAGACTCCCGTGGTGCGTACAATGGCTCGTTCATATCTTGGCCTCGTGTGCGCTGTGGCTGTGGCCTCCGTGTGCAGCGCCAAGCGTAGCAACCAGCATGACTCGCAGCAACTGAAGCCTGGGCCGTTTGACAACTTCGGCGGCGGCGGCTTCGGCGGCGGCGGCTTCGGCGGCGGCGGCTTCGGCGGCGGCGGCTTCGGCGGCGGCGGTTTTGGCGACTTTGGCGGCGCCCCAGGCGCCCCAGAAGCTCCAGCAACGGGAATGTTCGGGGGGAGCTTCCCAGATTTTCCTGACAGTGCTCCAGAGACGCGGTCGCAGAAGCCACAGGGCGTCCCTGGCTTCGACATGGGGGGCTTCGACATGGGTTTCCCCAACAATGCTCCTGAGAAGCAGCCGCAAGAACAGCCACAGGGCGGTGGTGCGGGCGGCGGCATCTTCCCTGGCTTTGACATGGGCGGCATGATGGACATGATGGGTGGGATGATGGCGGATGCCATGAACTGCGCAGAGAAGGAGATGGAGGTCTGCTGCCATGAGCCCGACTATCGCAAGACCACCTGTGTGCCACTCTGGTACTGCCTCATCGCTATTGGTGAACGGGACTTTGGCCCCGTTCCACCCTGCGATTCACCCGTGAAGTTCGGGGACGCCAAGAAGTGCAAGAAGAGTGAGGCGGACATCAAAAAGGAGATGACGCTCGCCAAGTCGATGTGCTTCGACAAGATCAATAAGCTCTACGACTTGCAGGATAAGTTGGGCCAATGTGCCGTGCAAGCAAGCGAGGAGAAGCAGAAGGTGGAGGAGGAGCGCCAGGCCCTGGAAAGCATTCAGCACGAGGCTGAGGAGTGCGAGAAGACGAAGGCCAAGGCGAAGGCCGAAAAGTCCATGGGCTCCTTCACCTCCGAAAGCCAAGGCCAAGGCCAGTTCTGCCCCAGCTTCACCGCAGAGCTGAAGGCGGCGTTTGCGGCCTACACCCTGGCCGTAGAGCAGTGCATCAGCGTCCAGGTGTCGGTCAGCGTCCAGATCCCGGAGATTAACATTGAGATTCCCGAGATCAAGGTGGGAGAGGTTCAGGGCAGCTCCTTCAACGTCCAGAGGCCTGACTTCAACGCCCCGGACTTCTCGGGTGATATTATTGTGCCTGGGGGCGGTGGGAAGCTGAATGTTGTTCCTGAAGGGCACGCCCAGCACGCCCAGCACGACCAGCAATCGGAGAAAGTTAAGCTGACCTTCGACCAGCGCGTTGCCAACATCAAGGCGGACATCAAGGAATGCGAAGACACCATGCCAAAGATGGCGGAGAAGAAGAGGGAGCTAGCCGGGTCAAAGAGCACCGTCCTGGATCAGAAGCAGAAGGCCACGAAGTCCACACAAGACACTTCACAAGACACATCCCCTCAATTTATCTATTCACTGCACTCAGAAGCTGGGGAGAGTTGGGGCCTTGTCTTTTTTCTCCTTCCTCTCTCTTGCTCGGATGGCTCAAGGAGTCTCAGCCGCGTTCTCATACCGTCTCTCGCAGCTTTGCAAACAGTTCCATCGACTCTTATCGGCCCTAAACCCTAAACCCTAAACCCTAAACCCTAAACCCTAAACCCTAAACCCTAAACCCTAAACCCTAAACCCTAAACCCTCAACCCTAAACCCTAAACCCTTATATCCTGAAACCAAGACGCCCTCAGGCCTGCGAGGAGCCAAGCAGCTTGCTCCAGACGGGAACAAGCCCAGAGGCCCAGATCGCCATCCAGGCGGGCGCCCTCTACAAGTGTCGTTTAGGGTTTAGGGAGTGTAGGGAGTTTGGGGAGTTTGGGGAGTTTGGGGAGTTTTGGGGAGTTTTGGGGAGTTTTGGGGAGTTTTGGGGAGTTTTGGGGAGTTTTAGGCTTCTGATAGGGGGATCCCCTCTCATATTTCAGGCCCCTTTGTGCTTAGGATGCCCAAAAGGGAAGGCGACGCCTCGCCCCAAGCTCTTATGAGTCCAGAGAAGGGGAGAACCTCCAGGGCCGAAGCAAACTTCGAAAAGTGTCGGGGCATTTACGAGGAGTGTGACAGCGGGAGGTGGCATTCCCTGCCAGGTCTTCAGCATGATGAAGATGACCTGGGGCTGCGCCGAGGTTGCCTCGGCCATCGATGGGCTCGTGGAAGTTCTGCACAAATGCTGAGCAGCTTCTTCCATCAGGCGTCTCGCAGATGTGGGATTTCGTCGGATTTCCGCGTCGCGCGCGCTCCCAAGAGCCCAAAGTGAGGACCTCTGCGAACTGATTCGTAGAGCAATGCCAAGTTGATGGATCGCAAGCACAGCAGCCTAAGCTTGTGATATGCGTTCCGCGCCTGTGCAAGTAGCGGGGGTCTCAGGTGGCCTCACTTTGCCCAATTGCCATTCCGCATCAGTACACATTCCTGAACACTCTCAAACTCATGGTGGAACTTTGGCTCAAGAACTCCGCCTTGTTTCAATGTTCTCAGTTTTGTTAATGCCCCGGTCAATCTTGTGGTTCCTTTGTGCTCCCTTGCCTTTCTGGCAGGTGTTCTTGGCCACAGATTAGGTCGCCAACCAATCCACCGTAATCCACCCCCCCCCCCCCATAAGAAGGATCTCTTGCAAGTAAAAGAGATCCCTAAACCCTAAACCCTAAACCCTAAACCCTAAACCCTAAACCCTAAACCCTAAACCCTAAAGATCCACACACACTCGTTAGATCCACACCTCTCCTCATGGCAGCGTTGGTGCCCTGAGGCCCGCGCTGGCGAAGCTGTCGGCTGTGATGCCTCAAACCCTAAACCCTAAACCCTAAACCCTAAACCCTAAACCCTAAACCCTAAACCCTAAACCCTAAACCCTAAACCCTAAACCCTAACCCCTAAACCCTAAAGTCTTAAAGTGCGAGCCCGGGTGCCTTTGAGATGCTCCACTACTCCCCGTTGTGTTCTTCCAGGCTTCGGGGTGGCGCCGGAATGGCGCCGGGCGCCAGGAGGTGCACCGCCTGGCTGAGGCATCCTGGGTCACAGGAATGTCCCTCCACTCCCCTCCGCCCATCCCCCCCCCAAATCCCCAAAGCCCGCAGCCACCCCTCCCCACCATCCCTTGAGCCCCTTAGGATCCTGGCCTTGTGGCTTGGGGTGGCAAACGGCGACGTGCAGCAGCAATTCCTGAAAACTCAGCCCCTTGGGCACCGAAGGGTTGGATGGTGGGGGTCGGCATACTGAAAGGTTCAGGGCTTTCGCGATCTGAGGCTTAAGGGGCAAGGGTTTAAAGGTTTCAGCTTAGGTTCAATGGTTTCTGGTTCAGGGTTTCCCTAAGCCCTCACCCTAAACCCTAAACCCTAAACCCTAAACCCTGAAACCTCCATTTGCTCAGGACGGTTTCGCTTACGCATCTCCAGGCTGCTTGGGTGCACAAGGGCCCTGTACAGAAGTTGAGCCATTCTAGAAGAAAGGGCTTTACGGGGTTTCTTCATTCAAAATACAGCTTCAAGGGGTTTCTTGACACATAAAGCATGGTTCGAGTTCAGGGGCTCCAAAAAGTTTCTCAAACATGATCCAGTGTGCCGACCTTTCCGGTAACTGAAAAGCAAGGACGTCAGCTGGCCAGATGGCTCGGACGTGCAGGAGATCTTTTTCGGAGCCCTGAGGTTTTACGGGATGTCCAGGAAAACCCTAAAGCCGACAGACGATGGGTTGCTATAGTCTTACAACCTACTACATGCATATATGCAACATCAATATACGTACATATGTATATACATACATGCATACAGACAGTACGACACACACATATACATATGTATACATATATACCGTTGATCTGATATCAGTATAAGTAGAAGCACAAGTCAAGTGAAGATAATAGGGAGCTGAATGAGCGAACGAATAAGTATATACACCTCTCTCTGTCCTCTCTCTCCGTCTCTCTCTCTCTCTCTCTTCTGTTTGTCTTGGTTTTTTAGTTTGTTGAGGGGTTGCGTCGTGCTTTCCCAATATCAAACCTCTCTGTCTAGTTGATGGTATGTCCAGCTTTTGCCATCCGAATGGCCCCCTCCGCAACGTGACACTGGAAGGACTCGCAAGCGTGGACCAATAACAACCAGAATGTGCGAACCAACTCCATTGTCGAGATTGAGTTTGCCGAGCCTTACTTGCATGGACTTGAAAGGCACTTACCTGCAGGATCTCTCAAATGCACTTGAAACGAGCTAAGGAAAACATTCAAGCCAGCTTTGGCTACATAACGATACAACCTGCGATATCTGGGATTGGAGCTTCAAGTGCTTCCGCGACGACCATATCAGTGCCAAGCACCGATGCATCTTGATCGCATGACTGCCCGAGTCAGCATAAAGACAGTGAATTTGTGCATGATGGCATCCGTGACATCTATGATGCGCAGTTGGCAGCAGAAGATGATTGAAAGGTAGTCATCAGCGGCCAGTCCCTCTTCCTCAACGATCCCTCCAGTGCCGGCGGCCGGCAAATCGTGTTCGCTGAGGCATGTTGTTTGGATCGTGTGGGTCAAGCACGCCCCTTGTATCGGGGAAGGAACTTGTGCTGGTCCTGGCAGGAGACGGTGTACACCGTTTCCTTCGATGCTGGCCTCATCCAAAACTTGGCTGCGACGGATACAAATGCAGCCTTCTCCATCCAGTTCACCACAGGCCCTCTGCCACGCCTGGGGCGGCACTAGTATCAGAGCTGTTTAGTTGCGAGCTTCGTCATGTGTGAAGGAACCTGCCATGTGGCTGAAGGGCACCATTTCTTCTTGCTTTTTTTTCTGGCAGTCGCAGGTGACTTTACGTCTCCAACACTTCTGACTATGTCCCCGGCAGATAACTCACCCAACGTGGCGGTGACCACCACCATTGCTGCGAGACTGAGATGGACAGTCGGGAAGATCCCCGCAGAACTGTAGATTTTGTAGATAGCCCGGGTCTTGAAGCTGCGGTGCATCTCAGGTATTCACTTTCTCCGAGGATGTTCTAGCGAATCCGGTGCCTGGGTAGCCTTGGTATCGCCTTCGAAGCATGCAGAACAACCCTAAACCCTAAACCCTAAACCCTAAACCCTAAACCCTAAACCCTCAACCCTCAACCCTAAACCCTAAACCCTAAACCCTAAACCCTAAACCCTCAACCCTAAAACGCTGCCAAGACAACAGACTTGAGACTCGAGACTCAAGGACGTATCTGGCACGGCCCCGACCTGGGGCATTCAGGCCTACGCCACGCGACATGTTGCCTCTTGCTGTGAGCCTCTCCCGACTGATCACAAGAGCCCCATAATACTATCACAACAGTCACACGTATTACCTTCATTGTAAGTACAGAATTTGAGCAATTAAAAATATGTACTGTGGAGCCATTTCACCCCTTCAAAGCCCTTTGCCCGTCTGCAGGACCCCTACCAGCGGCAGACGCCGTTCTCGGTGGCCCCGAAGTGCAGTGATGCGCAGATCACCGTGTCAGGTGCTTCGATCCGCATGTCCGCAGCATGAATGTCATGTACCATCTGTTCTGATCCTTCCAGGCCTCGCCCAGTAAGACCAGTTCGTAAACCCTAAGCCCAACAAAAACCGTGGCCACGCAGACCCTCAAGCTGTACCTGCCTCTACTACACCCACCCTATGGCCCTATGGAGATCCTCCAGACAACAGACCCTTGCTACGAAGACCCACTGAGGCGACCTTCAGGGCTTACGGGTTTGGGGTTATAGGGTTCAGGGTTCCTAGTAGAAAAAAACAATTCAAAGCCCTTCCCTCCCCATTCGGGGGCCCTGCACCTGGTTTTGGAGAGGTGCCTCTGCGACCATCACGATTGACACGGTGGCCTTCCCGATCCTGCCCTGTAGCCAGTGACCCGCGTTCAGGGTTTCGGGTTTCGGGTTTAGGGTTTAGGGTTTAGGGTTTAGGACGTGTGGGGTTTATGGTTGAGGGTTCTGTTTTGGAGCTTCCTTCGGTTGAGGGTTTTCAGGGTTTAGGGTTCTTGAGGTTGTGGGGCTTCGGTTTGGCATGTTGTTAAGTCTGCAAGCCTTGGGATGCAGGGTTGTGATTTAGGGTCTCAGGCTAGGGTTTGGGGCATCTGGGGTTCAGGGTTTTTCGGGTTTAGGGTGCGAGGTTTGGGATGTTCAGCCGGTCGGGGTGTTGCTTTTTCAGAACAGGTTGTGGTGTAGGTCGCAGGACGCAAACAGCCCCACGCAAGGATTGTTCGAGACGTGCACCGGGACAAGCGGCTTCGATTGCTGGGTGGCCTTCATGTGTTTGCGAAACGGGCGTTTCCGAAATTCGGGGTACCTTACTGGGGGCCCCCTATTTTCGTAAACCCCCAAATCCCTTCAGTGCAGCAGGATGCTTGCATCGAAGCTTTGAGAGGAGTCGCATCCTTATGTTCAGTTTGGGGCTGTCCCACACTCTAAGACCCCGTATAGGTATCGTACAACAGGCCTTCGAAAGGACGCTAAAAGAGAGACGCATGTCGGAGGTACCAGGTGGTCTTCGCGGCAAAGTGCTTCACGGACACCTCGGTGAACTTGAACTACGCGGCCGCTCTGCCCAGCTCCAGCTTCTACGACTCTCAACTGCAGAGGGTTCCGTAGAGCAGTCGCAGAAATCAGTTTGGCGCCTCTGCAGGCATAGTCAGACTTGTCGCGTCTGTTTCAACTCAGAGGGGCCAAAGAAGTGTAGTTTCCCAGTTTGAGTAGGGAAGCTGGGAATTCGTTCAAGGATTGTGCGTTCGTGCCTAGCGGCCTGGCGACTTCAGGGGCCCTTTCCAGGGAACGAACACACACACACACACACAGAGAACGGTACCCTAAACAGTGGTGTACCCTAAAGCCCTTAGACCCAAAGGCTGGGCCCCTAAACCCTAGACCCTGAACCCTGAACCCTAAGCCCTAAGCCCTAAACCCGAAACCCTAAACCCTAAACCCTAAACCCTTAAACCCTAAACCCTAAACCCTAAACCCTGAACCCCCCCAAAAAACTGCGCAAGTTGCCAGGACTGGTGGACCTCCTGAGCCTCGGCTGTCATGATCCCCTGACAGCCAAAAGACTTCAACATGGAGGTTCACGAAAATGGGGGACCCCCAACTCAGATCCCCAAATAGTCGATTCCCTTATAAGGACCCCAAGAAGGCATCCCGAATTTAGGAAACCCCCCACCTTGCCACCAAAGTTTCCACAGCAAGAGCTTCTACCGCAATTCCTTGGTCGTTGCTAGAGTCTCTGACGGACACTATCACCCTACATACCACAGACAGGGATAGTCGCTGGAATGTACACGCTTGAGGTTCCAGAAGCTGTTGCCTTCCAGTAGTTTCACTTGCATGCGAGCTGCAATGTGATCACCCTGAGCTGTTCATACCCCGATGCAGATACGTTTCCCATCTTATCGATCGATCTTGCCGGAGGTATCACGTCCTACAGTCCTACTGTCGGCACCTATGGCGTTCCCATCAGCCGCTTCGATTTCAATGGTTACGGCTATGGCTCAGTTTTATCCAATCTATTCCCGGTGTGTTGCGGATGTCATGTTCATGTGCCTTCTTGCATTGTTGGAAGCGGGAGTTCATTCATTGTATGTCTGGGGATAGCTGGGGCTGCCTCAGAGCCCAGATACCGATATCGTCCTGACCTTCTCCGAGCAGATTCTGCGCGGGACGGGCAATATCGTCTTCACCCCCCTTGGCGAAGCCTCGCAGAACTACGATGCTTCTCGGCAGCAGTCTGAGATTCTTTACTAGAGGCGTTCCTTTGGCAGCGTTTGGAAGGGGGATTGCTCGGCTCGCTCACGGTCTCATGGGCTGCGAATCCTTAAGCCCTACATCCGGGACCTTGGTCTTTAACCATACCCTTTCAATCCCTATTAAACTGTACCCTATAAATCCCTATAAATCCCTATAAGCTATACCCCAAAAACCCCTATAAACTATAAAACCCTTCTAAGCCCTTTTCCACGGCTTCTCCGCAGGTGACCGATGCCAGCCGAGTCTTGATCGACAGCAGCCAGCTACAGGCTCCTGGTTCTGGCTCTCGGTTTCGGCGTTGAATTGCTGCAAAAGGGATTTAGGGTTTAGGGTTTAGGGTTTAGGGTTTAGGGTTTAGGGATTGAGGGACAGCGATCAAGCAACGAACCCGAGTCTCTCGCCTGGAGTAGCAGTGGCACTGGAGCTGCAAGAATGAAAGTTGCAAGTAGTCGTTGCGATCATGCCATCAATGAGAATAGTATGTAGAGTTGTGATGAACGATCATCATAGCAATAGTCATAGTCATAGTCGTTCTAAGACATTCAGGAATAGGAATAGCAAGGAAATACTCACGCCTGTATTTTGTAAAGGTCACCATCGTTGGGAACGTGGCTTCAGACTACCTCTGCCTGTCTCTGGGCTTCTCGGGCGCAAGCTTGCCAGTGCTTGACTGCAATGATCATTACAGGATCTTCACGTCCAGCAGGCGTTCACTCGGCTGGGGTGTGGTACATGCTGAACCTACTCAGCAGCCAGGGAGGCGTCACAGAAGCCGAGGTGCTGACATGCAGAAGTGCAAGGGCAAGCCAGTGGACATCACCATTGGCGCAGGCCATGCAAGATCCTACTTTCGGGCATTTCCAGAGGAGTTTGCCCAAGTTCCTTTTCAGGAAAACCCCCAAAAAGCACCCCCCCATTTTGTAATACCAAGTTCCTGCCTGCAGCGTGGAGGTGGAATAGAAGGTCGGGAAGCCAAGGCCATCCCCAACCCTTAAACCCGAAACCACTATGCGCCAAAGTGGAAGGCGTGTTTGCCCGCGTGGACACAACTGCGGGCGTTGGCAGCCTCCCTGTGAACCTGGAGGCAGCCAGAGCATGTGTGCATGTAGGGGATTCTGGGGGTGCAGAGGGTTGTGAGAGTCTTTGGTCCAAGCGTTTGAGGGTTTTAGGTGTTTAGGGGTCTTAATCTTAGGTTTAGGGTTTTCGGCTTTTTCGGGGTAAGGACTGATTGCCCTCAATCCCCAAGCGTTAGACCCTAAGCTCCTGAACTTAAGCGAATTCGTGCTTTCATTCGCTTCGCTCGTTTCATTACAATTCACGCCTCACTTCGCTTTCTTGATTACGAGGAGTTATTTCGTAGGGTCTTTAAGGTAGTGAACTCCAGGAATTCATTCGCTTGAAAATGAACACTATTCATATTCTGTTCACCTTTCCAAACCTTAAAAGAATGTTGCACTCTTCCCGAGAAGCTCAGCACCCTAAACCCTAAACCCTAGATTTATTAGAGTTCAGGGCCTGGGGTTAGTCGGGGTGTGGTTTGGTATCCTGGGGCTTTTGGGGATCCCCGAAACCCTTAACCCTAAACCTAAGCCCTGCAAGCTCTCCAGGCGCAGCTCACGGGGCCCCTTGGTCCAGCATCGGGAGGGGGGAACCCGCTGACCTAAACCCTGAAGTCCTCAACCCCTAAACCCCGACTAGAAGCCCTTGAAGCCCTGAGCAATCAAACCCCTAAACCTTAAACCCTCAAGCCCTAAGAGGGTTTGACCTCGTGGGGAAGGCAATTCCGACCCCTGGCCTTTGGGTTAGAGCATCAATCGCCGCAGTTTAGGGTGTAGGGTGTAGGGTTTAGGGTTTAGGTAGGGTTTGCAGTTCAGGGAAAGGTTCTCGACTGGACTCGCAATGAAACGCCGAGTGACACGGAGGTGTTGCAACCCTAAGCCCCCCCCCCCCCATCCCCCCCAAAAACGCAACCCTCTAAAAACCCCGAGCTCTAAAGTAGAGAACCCCCCCCCAAAAATAGGGTCCCTTATAAGGTCCCTCCTGTAGTCCCTTCAGCCTTAGCTAAAAGCCGTTTGCCTTGGCCGCTGTGCTGCTCGAACTGCCGTTGCCGCTCACAGCTCTCGGGCGACACTTCCCGGATTTCGGGGTGCAAGAAGGCAGGGTCTGCTCAGTCTCCTCGATTCATCCCTCCCCCCTCCCACCCTGCCATGGGCTTAAGTGTCCCTATCCTGACATCCTAAGCCCTCAAGCCTTGAGAGCGCACAGATACGCCTGCAGCGCCTTGGTCCAGCAGGTTTCAAGCGACTGAATTTTGAGCGCCAGACGAGCCGGGGGCCTTGTGTGACAACTTCCCACTGTTGGGTGACCCCAGGATGCACATGAAGTTTCGGTCTTCTTGCTGGCATTGTGTCATAGGCCTATATAGGCCTGAGCTGTTTTCATGCAAGAGGCGCCCATCCTAAGCTTCTGCAAATTCGGCTCCGCGAGCTGCTCCCATGAGCTGCATGTGCTACTCTCGCACGACTTGCGCAATCTACCTAGAGAGCACTGTCAAGAGGCAGAGCCTAGCCCTGCCTGCTTCTGGATGCCCTGAACCTGCTTCGATGTCCAGAGCCCACTTGCTTAAGAATTTTGGCATTCCCCGAACCATGGTTACATGGGGTTACAGGGTTAAACGCCCTACAGTAGGGTTTCTCTCAGACGCAGCTGTCACATGGGCCGTGCCCTCATCTGCGTCGTCTTCTTTGCAATGTGGCTGGCGCTCCTGCTCTACACGCAGGGCGGCTCCATCTCTGTTGTTGCTGGCACTTCGCGAGACATCTTCATTCCACTGGTGGAGAGCAGGGAAGACTCCCATGAATCCCCGAACTTGCTGCAAAGCTACGCGAAGATGGATTCTGCGGACGCGTCCACGCCTGAGATGTTGCCGCAGAGCTCGGAGGTTTTAGTTCCTGTGGTTCCTGTGGCTCCTGCGCCCGTGGCAAGCAAGCCGATGAAGCCAAGAGGCCCGGAAGCACTGCCAGCCCAGCCGGCGAGACCTGCGAAGCCTGGCAAGTCAAGACTTGCCTATGCAAGATTTCCTAAAACTGGAAGCCGATATGCGATCTCACACTTCCGAAGGGCCGTTCAAGAGCTTGCGGTCATCCCGGAGCACCAGGCGGTAAAGGCCGTGGGCGTTGCAGCCAACGAGTTTCTGCTCGGGTCTGTGCGAAATCCTTGCACAAGCTATCTGAGTCTCTGGGCTTTCCAGTCCGAGGCCCAAAGGCGCGCTGGGGTGATGGCGGACTTGCGCAAGAGGGACCCTGAGGCGTTCCTCAGGCTGAGGGGCCAGAATGCCGCTGATGGCTTCACCGGCCCAGAGGACGTCCGCCGGTTCCGCAACTGGATCCGCTTCATGAGCCACCCAGAATACCCCAAAGTTAAGCTGGGTCTGCTCTCCGGCCGCTTCCATGGAAAGTATCTTTCAAGGGACCCGGACATGGACATGCGCGACAACGCCTTTCTGGTTCGAGGCTGACAGGGCAAAATTTTGTCAGCTTTATTTAAAGCCAGAGCAGGACAGCCTTTCTTTTTTTGTCGTTGTTAGAGGGGGTTTCCGAAATAGGGGTACCCTTCTTGGGGGGGGGGTCCCCTTAAGGGGGTTCTATTCTATTTGGGGTATGAAAGGGCTATTTTGGGAACTGCCCAGATTGTTTTTTTTGGTTCGAGGCCTGAGTGGAGAGGCGGCGGCGGAAACTGCCGAGGCGATCCGTGCTGCAAGCGTTTCGGAGCTGGCAGACTGCTGGTTGCACACGGAGTCCTTGGAGTCCGACATCAAGCGCTGCTTGCACCCCAGCATCCTTCTCATATTCCCTGAAGCTCTGAGACCTCATAAGCCTTGTCGTAAGCCCTATAGAACGCTCTCAGCCCCGACACCCGAAACCCCTCATGCTCCCACGTGCTGATCCCTGACCCGAAGCCCTGGTCCAGCAACATCTTCCCGTTCCTTCCCGAAGGCAGTGGGCAAGCATCCTACCCCTACGCAGCACTCACACATGCGCACAGATATGTACATATCTAAAAAAAAAAATATATATATATATATATATACATATACATATACAGCAGTAAGTTCACCAAGTTTAAGTCGCAGGAGGGAAAGTAGAGAAAACCTTTCGAGATGAACTTTCATAGGCGTATTTTCCTTTTAGCCCGCTTCTTGGGCGAGGGTGTGCCTCACGTAAACGTGATGGTGATACTTGCTCTATCTTTTATCAAACATGTTGCGTGCCATCTCATAGGCTCCAGGCACATTTCGTATGCCCATCGGCTTTAGTTGGTGCTTTCGGGGCACAGACGTCGCTTGTACTGAGCCTTAGATCGGATTGTCCGAATGGAGAATTAGCAATATTAATATTAGTAATATTCAATATTGTTATAACTACTCATATGATGATGATGATTATTACTATTAACAATAATATTAGAAATATTAGTAATATTTTCGCACATTCAACAAAGCGCATGGCAAGCCTCAACCCCCCCCAAACCCTACGTAAGACCTCCCAGGGCTCCAAACCCAAAACCCAAAACCCCAAAACCCCAAAACCCCAAACCCTAAACCCTAAACCCTAAACCCTAAACCCTAAACCCTAAACCCTAAACCCTAAACCCTAAACACCTCGAACCTTTGTGCTGAGGTCTCAGGAACTTCGAAGGCTTGGGGGGCAAGGCCCGAGCCTTTTCTCTGGTGGCCGGGGTGGTGGGGAGACCTTTATGGTAGAGCTTCGGAGGTTTTTAGGGTTTCAGGGTGTTGGGGTTTCAGGGGGTTATGGGCTCAGGGTGCAGGTATGTCCAAAACCCTAAACCCTAAACCCTAAACCCTAAACCCTAAACCCTAAACCCTAAACCCTAAACCCTAAACCCTAAACCCTAAACCCTAGAATTTGGTTCTGTGAAGTCTCTGCTGATCAGTGCTGGTAGGTGCAGTGGTCTCGACTTGGAGCTGATAACGGGCAGCATGGCACGTCCAAGCACGGGGGCTGCGAGATCTTCTTCGACGAAGCCACTGCCACTTGGGCCCAGGTAGACTTTGCAGAACCAAATTCTAGGGTTTAGGGTTTAGGGTTTAGGGTTTAGGGTTTAGGGCTTATGGGTTTCCAGAATCTGGTTCAGATGGGCCTGGTGGGGTCGTGCAACAGGCGAAGCTTGTCTATGAGCTCGACGGACCTCTGTTCGAGAAGTTTGGCTATGACACTTGCTGTGGCCATGCGATCCCTCCAGCTTCTACAGTCCCTACGGCTTCTTTGACCGAGTTAGAGTCGCCCACACCTACGTCTTCGCCGGCCACTGCCACCTCACAAGAGGGTCCAGTGGGTCCAGGAGCTTGCATCGGGGTATAGGAGGCGCATCACGACACAGAGAGTAGATACAGCAGAGGTGTCTTGTTTCTGTTTCTTGCTGCAGTGGTGGGGGTGGTGTCGATTAGCCACAGAAGTTTGTGGGCAGCGCTTTCCGCAGTGTCACACGGTGCCAACTTTAGGCTCAAGCATTCCTTCAGTCCGCTTTCCTGCCTGCATCAGTCCCGGAACGATGTCGCAGCAAACTTCGGTGTCGGCATTCCTCATCTCTCGCATCCAGGAGCTGGGGGTGCAGCATGTCTTCGGAATCCCAGGAGACTATGTGCTGCCCTTTTTTGATGAGCTGATCAAAGAGGGAAGCCCGGTCAAACATGTCGGCACCTGCAACGAGCTCAATGCTGCTTACCTCGCAGACGGGTACAGCCGTGTGAAAGGGTTTGGGGTTGCCGCTGTGACCTATGGACCCGGTGCCTTCAACGCTGTCAATGCCGTGGCAGGGGCATACGATGCTCATGTCCCGCTGCTCCTGATTTCGGGGGCGCCTCAGACAGCGAGATATCGCCAAGGCAACAAGCTGCTTCTGCATCATGCTGTCGGCAGTGACTTGGATGCCACCATACGCGTTTTTACACCCATCACTGCTGCTGCAGCTCGCATTGACGCAGTGGAGGAGGCCATTCCAACAGTCGACTGGCTGCTGCGGGTTGCCCTCGACCAGAAGAGGCCAGTCTACCTGGAGATCCCCTTCGACATGCAGAAGGCACAAATCCAAGTACCAGATCCCTTGAACTACCAGCCGCCGTGCAGTGACGAGCAAGCCCTTCACAGAGTGGTGGAGCAAGTTGCACGTGTGGTGAACAGCGCGGGGAAGGTGGGTGTGTTGGTTGGCGTGTTCATCGACAGGGAGGGCCTGCAACAGGTTGCGGAGGACATGTTGAGCGCCACCAAGCTCCCATTCGCCACTACGTTTGACCAAAAGGCTGGCTACCTAGAGTACCTCCCAAACTGCCTTGGCTTCTATCAGGGAGGCATTTCTGCGCAGGCGGTGCGCGATGCCACCGAAGGTGCCGACATCCTCTTGACTCTCGGGATGCCGCGGACAGAGTTCACTCTGGGCTTTCTTACGCACGACTTCAAGGAGGAAAAAATGGGAGGGTTTAAAAGATTGTGATGAGTTTTAGGGATGGTTCGGTGCTGCTCAGGGTCCGTGGGCGGTAGATCAGGACCGCATGATCGAGCTCGGCTACGATGCTGTCAACTTGCAGGGGGAAGTGGTGCATGGCGTTTACCTTCGGCAGCTGTTGCCACTCCTGGCACAAAAGATCATCCCACGTGCTGAGGAGCTGGTGGAGGACTCGTTTCCTTTCACTTACACGAAGCACCGGGCAGGTCCAGAGGACCGGCCGCTGACTGTGGACTTCATGTACCCTGAGCTCGCTCACTTTGTGCAGGAAGGCGACATTGTTACCGGCAACACGGGCGGCTACATCAACTTGTCCAGAATGCGCATGAAGAAGGGCAACACCACGGCCGGTCCCACCAACTGGGCGTCCTTGGGGAACGTGTTCCCAATTTCCGTTGGCATGGCTTTTGCTGCACCTGAGCGTCGCATCGTTTGCCTTGAGGGCGATGGATCCTTTCAAATGACTGGTATGGAGCTCGGCACCGTGCTGCGACACAATCTCAACTTCCTCCTCATCATCCTGAACAATGCGGGGTATACGGCAGAGCGTGCCATCCATCCGGAGCGGGACGACTCCTACAACGACATTCAAGTGTGGAACTACCACTTGCTGCCTGAGGCACTGGGTGGCAGGCCAGGTTCAAACGGCGTCGACGTGCTCACGGAGTCTCAGTTCACTGAGGCCCTAGCCGCTTACGAGTTCGGTAAGGGCTTGCACGTGGTGAATGCAAGGCTGGACAAGATGGACATCCCCAGCTTCTTCCGTGAGATGAGTGACATGCTGCGCCACTGAGACTTTTCGTGGCCCACAAAAGCCGGATGCGAAGGCGTCCTAGGGCCTTGCATGTAGCGATGTGCAGACGGACATGACGCAATGCCGCAGTGCCCATACAGGGCCCCGGCGCCGGCGCACAGCACTCCCACACCTGTAGAGGGGACTCGCTTTGCCTGGCTTGGCACTGCGGCGGAGATGTACAGGTCATGACGCCCGAGACATGGGTTTGGAGCAAAAATGCGGACCCGACTCAACACACCTGCTTCGCGTGAGGAGCCGAGCCCATCAACCCTTGGGTCTGGGGCGAGCCTTTCGTGCCTTGGCATGGGGCTTCGGGGCAGTTCCACATTACCGATGTACTTTGCATTTGGAATGCTTTCAGAGCTCAGGGGAAACCACCAAAGCTGTGCTCCACCAAGGCGAACGCAGCAGGGCAGCCCATGCGCGACGCTGGAAATCCTGCGAGCCTCGCGCTGCATCAGATTCTCTCACGACTGGCGTACACCTCTGAACTCCCCCAAAACCACAACACCCCCACTGAACTCCCTCTCTTTGGAACATCTTGCATCTGTGAGAGGGCTTTGAACCCTGAAGGCCCAAGATTGCACTAGAGGACGATAGAGGACTCATGTGTGGATTTACGCGATTAGGGGTACCTTGTGGGGTCCTTCTTATCAGGGGATCCTACTATTTGGGGTCAATTTTAGGGGTCAAATCCCCAAGTGACTTGTGGATGTCGCAGTGGGCAGCCCAGGCATGGGGCCATGTGGGACGCATCCGTGGGGCCTTGCCGTGTGAAGGCCAGAAGCAAGAGTCAGCAAGCGGTTGGCAACCCTAAACCCTAAACCCTAAACCCTAAACCCTAAACCCTAAACCCTAAACCCTAAACAATAAACCCTAAACCCTAAACCCTAAACCCCAAACCCTAAACCCTAAACCCTAAACCCTAAACCCCAAACCCTAAACCCTAAACCCTAAACCCCAAGCCCAGAGTTGCATGTGGTGGCCCCGAAGTGCCGATGACCCCTTTTAAACCTCCTTTCTTTGGGGCAGGCCCTGGGCCCAGATGAGACCCGACTCCGCACAGTGCCTCGACTCCTTTTTGGGGGTTTGGGGGTTTCGGGGTTTGGGGGTTTGGGGGTTTAGGGTTTGGGGGTTCAGGGGTTTCGGGGTTTAGGGTTTGGGGGTTCAGGGGTTTAGGGATTTAGGGCTTTGGGGTGAATCGGGGTTTGGGGTTTGGGTTGGGGGTTTTGGGGCTTTGGGTTTGGGATTTGAGGCGTTTAGGGTTTTGGGGGTTAGGGTTTGGGGGTTCGGGTGAGAACAAGACCCCGTCCCCAACGTTCACGTATGGTTGTGCTGGGTAGGCGGTTAGCATCGTCCGACGAGCAGCATTCTGCACGAGAGCCAGGGGCACTTGGAAAAATACCCCCTAAACCCCATAAGGAACGCTGTAAGAAGACCCTAAATCAACCCCAGAAACCCTACAGAAGCATGTGTAGCCCTCCTATTATAGCTCCCCAATAGAAGCCCTGGTGAGTCAAGGCGAACCTGCTGACGCTGTCCAACATCCGAAGGATGCTGGATGATCTGGTCTTGAAGTGCCTGGAGACCGAAAACCTGCCAGGACAGTGATGCCACTGCACTTTTTTTTTGGAATGAGTTGAGGGTCACTGCTACCTGGCTTATTTGATTTGGCTACTTTTGAACGCCACTCCCAGGGGTTGCTGAAATGAAAGATAGGTTGCACTACTTTTTACAGTGCTGCAGCCCTGCAGTCTTGAGTCTGAGAGGACCAACGCAGGTGAAGGCCGCAAATCGCATGATGTACCAGTGTCACTTGGATCGCACGGGCCTGGGGGGCCCCTCGAGAGGTTGGGTTCGCGGTTCCAATGTGGGTTGATGATGAAAGAGCCTGAGCCCAGTGGCGGAACGTTCATGCAGGGTTTAGCTCTTCGGCCACTGCGATGAAGGCCTCGACTCAAGTTCAGTAAGCATTCTGCCAGAGTTTGTCTCGAGGCATCTTGTCTGGCCTGCCCCGCAGCTGCAGCTATCTGGCGAAGCGGTTGCCCTTCGAGCCAACAAAGCCTTTCACGCAGGCGAATG